CTAACCTAACCTAACCTAACCTAACCTAACCTAACCTAACCTAACCTAGCCTTGCCTAACCTAACCTAACCTAACCTAACCTAATCTAGCCTTGCCTAACCTAACCTAACCTAACCTAGCCTTGCCTAACCTAACCTAACCTAACCTAACCTAACCTAGCCTTGCCTAGCCTTACCTAACCTAATCTAGCCTAATCTAGCCTTGCCTAACCTAATCTAGCCTAATCTAGCCTTGCCTAACCTAACCTAACCTAATCTAGCCTTGCCTAGCCTAACTTAACCTAGCCTATCACTACACTACACCTACAGGTTTAGGCCTTATCTGTAAAATCCTGGTTTGTGTCTCGGAGAGGCTACAGGATCCAAGTAAATTCAGTAGAATTTCTGGTTGCAATTCTTATACCATGTCGTAGCTCAGTCGATTAAAGCAGCGTCTGGGATGCTCTTGGACGTAGGTTCGAATCCCTGTCACGGCCCTTGTGGATTTGTTCTCTAGCCTAGCGTAGGCTGACTTAGCCTAGCCTAACCTGGCTTAGCCTAACCTGGCCTAGCCTAACCTAGCCTAGCCTAACCTGGCCTAGCCTAACCTGGCCTAGCCTAACCTGGCCTAGCCTAACCTAGCCTAGCCTAACCTGGCCTAGCCTAACCTGGCCTAGCCTAACCTGGCCTAGCCTAACCTAGCCTAGCCTAACCTGGCCTAGCCTAACCTAGCCTAGCCTAACCTGGCCTAGCCTAGCCTATAACGACTAAAGTGTTTCAACACCACCATAGCACATTGACAAGCTATGACGTCACACCACATCAAGAAATGACCGTGTGACGTCACCAATGACGTCACACCAGGCCGTTTATGTACTTACCTAATTGTGCTTGCGGTGGTTGAGCTTTGGTTCTTTGGTCCCGCCTCTCAACTGTCAATCAACAGGTGTACAGGTTCCTGAGCCTATTGGGCTCTATCATATCTACACTTGAAACTGTGTATGGAGTCAGCCTCCACCACATCACTGCCTAATGCATTCCGTTAAGTACTCTGACACTGAAAAAGTTCTTTAAATGGGTTCAAAACAAACAGAAGGCCTAAATGTGTTAAAATACGCAAGCGTCACACCTCCTTAGGGTTAATTGCGTACACAATGTAAGACTTTATTACTGCGTCAATACGCAACGCTTCTAAGGGGGTGGTCCTGCGTCAATACGCAACGCTTCTAAGGGGGTGGTCTTGCGTCAATACGCAACGCTTCTAAGGGGGTGGTCTTGCGTCAATACGCAACGCTTCTAAGGGGGTGGTCTTGCGTCAATACGCAACGCTTCTAAGGGGGTGGACTTGCGTCAATACGCAACGCTTCTAAGGGGGTGGACTTGCGTCAATACGCAACGCTTCTAAGGGGGTGATCTTGCGTTCCTAATTTACGCATTTCCATTGCGTCATGCGCGTAGGTGTTGACAGGAGGCCATGTTGCTGTTTGGTCCTGGCGCCTATGTGGCTACATGCGTCAACACGGTGCCACCAGGCGACGCCATTTATGCTGCTGGGGGCCCCTAGAGCCATGCTGGGCCCCCTAGTGCTATGCTGGGGGCTCCTAGTGCTATGCTGGGGCCCCTAGTGCTAGGCTGGGGGTTCCTAGTGCTAGGCTGGGGGCTTCTAGTGCTATGCTGGGGCCCCTAGTGCTAGGCTGGGGGCTCCTAGTGCTATGCTGGGGGCCCTAGTGCTAGGCTGGGGGCTCCTAGAGCCATGCTGGGCCCCTAGTGCTATGCTGGGGCCCCTAGAGCCATGCTGGGGCCCCTAGTTCTAGGCTGGGGGCCCCTAGTGCTAGGCTGGGGGCTCCTAGAGCCATGCTGGGCCCCTAGTGCTATGCTAGGGGGCCCCTAGAGCCATGCTGGGACCCTAGTGCTAGGCTGGGTCCCCTACCTAGTGCTAGGCTGGGTCCCCTACCTAGTGCTAGGCTAGGGGCCCCTACCTAGTGCTAGGATGGGGTCCCCTAGAGCCATGCTGGGCCCCAAGTGCTGTGCTGGGTCCCCCTAGTGCCTTACTGGGGCCCCTTAGTGCTGTGCTAGGGGCCCCAGAGTACAGCTGGCTAAGTGCCCATTTACTTTAGTTATCCCTAATAAGTTTAATGGCGTCCAGGTATTGACCAGGCATTATATAGCCTATTGACAATACACTATAGTTTATTGATAAGGTATACTAGTCTATTGACGAGGCACATATCGAGGTCTATTTCCCTAACTCCCGGGTACCTATTTACTGCTAGGTGAACAGGCGCATTAGAGGAAAAAGGCGCTCGCCTAACAATTGCTGTCCCTTAGTTAAGGGTTCCAAGAAATATGTATCGCAGATAGTGTCAAAAAACATAAAATATTTATAAAATAATATTAACAAAATAAAATAATATTAAACACAAGATTAAATAAATACAATATAGATAAAAAAATATTTTTTTTTACATAGGGTTGTCAAAATTATGATTTTAAAATTAAAAAGTTCTATGTAAAAAAGGATTACTAGGTTAAAATAAATAAATATATATATATATATATATTAATAAATAGTTACGTAGGATATATAATATGAGTATAATTAGCGTTTAATGTGGCCTTAATAACCCTCCAGAGGTTGATAGGCCTTAATAACCCTCCAGAGGTTGATAGGCCTTAATAACCCTCCAGAAAGAGAAAGAAAACTGAAAGGAAGAGAGGGGTAACTAGAGTAGGTAGAGAAGATGGGAAGAAAGAAGGGAATTGAGAGGGAGATTAAATGAAACGGGGACTAAGACGGAGGGGGGGGGGAGGGAGAGAGTAGATTCAGTAGAGAGTTATAACGGAACAAGTTCTGGTATGTGGTTGTGCAAGGCCGGTCCTTCCCCCTCTCTCTCGCTCTCTCACGCTCTCTCTCTCTCTCTCTCTCTCTCTCTCTCTCTCTCTCTCTCTCTCTCTCTCTCTCTCTCTCTCTCTCTCTCTCTCTCTCTCTCTCTCTCTCTCTCTCTCTCTCTCTCTCTCTCTCTCTCTCTCTCTCTCTCTCTCTCTCTCTCTCTCTCTCTCTCTCTCTCTCTCTCTCTCTCTCTCTCTCTCTCTCTCTCTCTCTCTCTCTCTCTCTCTCTCTCTCTCTCTCTCTCTCTCTCTCTCTCTCTCTCTCTCTCTCTCTCTCTCGCTCTCTCTCTCTCTCTCTCTCTCTCTCTCTCTCCTCCTCTCTCTCTCTCTCTCTCTCTCTCTCTCTCTCTCCTCTCTCTCTCTCTCTCTCTCTCTCTCTCTCTCTCTCTCTCTCTCTCTCTCTCTCTCTCTCTCTCTCTCCTCTCTCTCTCTCTCTCTCTCCTCTCTCTCCTCTCCTCTCTCTCTCTCTCTCTCCTCTCTCTCTGTCTCCTCTCTCTCCTCTCTCTCTCCCTCCTCTCTCTCTCACTCTCTCTCTCCTCTCTCTCTCCTCTCTCTCTCTCCTCTCTCGTTTTAGTGACAAGGAGCTGGGATATGAGGACAAGGAGCTGGGATATGAGGACAAGGAGCTGGGATATGAGAACAAGGAGCTAGCTGGGATATGAGGTCAAGGAGCTGGGATATGAGGACAAGGAGCTGGGATATGAGGACAAGGAGCTGGGATATGAGAACAAGGAGCTAGCTGGGATATGAGGACAAGGAGCTGGGATATGAGGACAAGGAGCTGGGATATGAGGACAAGGAGCTGGGATATGAGAACAAGGAGCTAGCTGGGATATGAGGTCAAGGAGCTGGGATATGAGGACAAGGAGCTGGGATATGAGGACAAGGAGCTGGGATATGAGGACAAGGAACTGAGATATGAGGACATGGAGCTGGGATATGAGGACAAGGAGCTGGGATATGAGGACAAGGAGCTGGGGTATGAGGACAAGGAGCTGGGATATGAGGACAAGGAGCTAGGATATTAGAACAAGGAGCTGGGATAAGAGGACAAGGAGCTGGGGTATGAGGACAAGGAGCTGGGATATGAGGACAAGGAGCTAGGATATTAGAACAAGGAGCTGGGATAAGAGGACAAAGAGCTGGGATATGAGGACAAGGAGCTGGAATATGAGAACAAGGAACTGGGATATGAGGACAAGGAGCTGGGATATGAGGACAAGGAGCTGGGATATGAGGACAAGGAGCTGGGATATAAGGACAGGGAGCAGAGATACGAACATAGTTGTATATCTAAGGTTTATATGAGACATAAAATGAAATTGTAATCTTAAAGTTCCTCTCGATATTTTTTAATTCCATATTGCTTTCCTGATATACTACGACTTTATGAAGACTTTAAATCTTGGATTTGCACTTCCTGCCAAGCCGCGTTGACCCCTTCCCTCTATCTGATAAAGAAAAGTTAATTAGGTCATTAATTACTACAAATTACTTACAAATATGTGGCCATTTCCCTCTCTTGAAACATATGTAAACTTACGTGGATTGTTAATATATAAGGATACAGGGCGTCTGCAACTGTAGTTTTTAAGTGTTTTTGAGATTTCGTGAGCTGCCTGTCACCTGGCAATATATATATTTGTTATATATTGCTTTTTTTGCTAGATTTTGGAGTGAAAGGGATATTAGAGTTTGAGGAAGATTTGAACTCCCGCCACTTTGTATAGCATTTAATTCGTGGGATTATGGCAGCTCTGCCCTCAATTTCATCTGTGTTATATTCCTTTTCTCTGGCTATAATGGATGATTTATTCAGCCCGGTGTTCAAATGCATATATTTTCGAGAGGTTTTTCTCGTGGGCATTGAATTAGTCGTCGGTTAATTATATTATATAAATTATTGGTTCTTCCACTGACAACGGCAACAAGATGGAAGTCACCTCGCGCCAGCAAAGTCATGAAAACAAACACCAAACCCGCCAATTATAGCTTTTCGCTCTAAAATATGCCCATTCTCGGCTATCATTAAATATATTTACTAGTTATATATAATTTATAGTTATATTATAAGAGGATAAAAGTAGGAATCGGCAGAAATCGTTGCGGGGCGCGAGTATTGGAACATATTTTCCTTCATGTAAAGGTGCCATTGCACTCAGCTCCTGGGGGAAGTGTTGAGAATCTTGTGTTTTGCCGTTATGCCTGGCGTGTAGGGTGTTGAGGCCGCGCTGACCCCCGGGAACACTCGCCGCCACGCCTGCCCACTCGTAAACCGTTGTTTGTCGCCTCGTTGTCAAGAAAGGACCATCAAAATTCCGGTCCCCAGCGAATTTCGGCAGACCCGTCCAGGGAGAGCCGAAGACATGAACGCCAGGTCGAGGAAAACCCGCTCGAGCTCCGCCAGGTGAGGCTCCCGGGGGCGGGTGACGGGTGAGGGGGGAAGGGGAGGGTGCTAGGGGTTAAGGGGGAGGGGGGAATGGGCGCGGGGTAGGTGGGAAATGGGTGGTTTAAGGGGTTTAAATAGGGGGAAAAGGGGGAGGCCGGTGATTGGGTGCCGACGGGATTCGGGGGCTCTTGTCGCATCATTATTTTTTTTCCTTTGGCTTCTCTGTCTTGTATGTTCTTCTCTGGCTGTCTCTCTCACTCTCTCTCTCTCACTGTGACTGGGGTCTCTCACCCCCGGTGGGGAGGGCGTGGGTGTGGGCGGGGGTGGTGGTGGGGGCCACATCTGGCACACCTCACATGGCCCCCGTCACAACACTCACGCCCCCGCTGGTCTCCCTGCTGGGGGGGAGGGTGGTGGTATGGGGGGGAGGGGGGTGGTGGAGGGGGGGGGGTGAAGGGCTGGTGGTGGAGGGGGGGGGGTGAAGGGCTGGTGGTGGTAGGGGGTAGTAGAGGGGGGGCTGGTGGTGGTGGTAATTTTGTGGTAGAGGGGGCTGGTGGTGGAGGGCGGCTGGTGGTGGTGGTAAGTGGGGTGGGGGAGGGGGGGGTGGTGGGGGAGAAGGGGGGGGCTGGTGGCGGTGGTGGCCCTTTTTTTCCTCCAACTTCTGCCTATATCCTCATGTCCTAATTTCTGTCAATTTAAAGAGGCTGTCCTTGTCCTGCTTGTATATTAACCTCGGTATCTTGTATATCATGAACATTTTCCCTGTTTCTTCTCTCTAGTAGACAACCACTTGGGGTGGACGGTAGAGCGACGGTCTCGCGTCATGCAGGTCGGCGTTCAATCCCCGACCGTCCATACAAGGGCACCATTCCTTTCCCTCCGTCCCATCCCGAGTTATCCTGACCCCTTCCCAGTGCTATATAGTCATAAAGGCTTGGTGCTTCTCCCGATAATTCCCTGCCTTTCTCTCCTCTTCGAGTTGAGAGATCTAGTTTCCTTAGGTTATTCCTCGTGCCTGAAAGCGATGTCTGGTGTTAATCTTGTTAGATCTAGTTTCCTTAGGTTATTCCTCGTGCCTGAAAGCGATGTCTGGTGTTAATCTTGTTGCAAATCCTTGTATGTTTTGAGTAAGGTTCTGTGCTCCACAAGGTGTAGGGTCCATGCTGAATTTGCAGGATGCTTGTGTTCTATTGGTCTAATATAGGTCAATATAGGAGGAGCCGGTCGGCCGAGCGGACAGCACGCTGGACTTGTGATCCTGTGGTCCCGGGTTCGATCCCAGGCGCCGGCGAGAAACAATGGGCAGAGTTTCTTTCACCCTATGCCCCTGTTACCTAGCAGTAAATAGGTACCTGGGTGTTAGTCAGCTGTCACGGGCTGCTTCCTGGGGGTGGAGGCCTGGTCGAGGACCGGGCCGCGGGGACACTAAAGCCCCGAAATCATCTCAAGATAACCTCAAGATAGGTTGTGTAGATTATAATGAGTCCTTTTTTTTTTTTATGTTTTTCGGTTGTGAATGTTTGTCAGCATGCTGTATCCTGGCAGTGTTGGGTTGTTTGTACTCACCTAGTTGTGCTTGCAGGGGTTGAGCTCTGGCTCTTTGGTCCCGCCTCTCAACTGTCAATCAACTGGTGTACAGGTTTCTGAGCCTATTGAGCTCTATCATATCTACACTTGAAACTGTGTATGGAGTCAGTCTCCACCACATCACTGCCTAATGCATTCCATCTGTTAGCTACTCTGACACTGAAAAAGTTCTTTCTAACGTCGTGTTTGATAATGTTGGTGGTTGGTTTTGGAATTTGCTTTTAAATCTATTTATCTTTTATTCCTGTAGTTTTCTTTCCCTTATGATGTAGATACCTCTTGGATTCCTTTCTCTCTCTCACATTTTCATTACCTTACACTTGTTGGGATTGAATTCTACTAACCATTTGTTTGCATACCCCAGGAGTTTGTCGAGGATTTCCTGCAGTCCTCCTTTCATTTTACATTATTCATCAGCTTTAAACCATCTCGGTTGCCTTATTTAGGTCATTGACAAAAATTAGAAACAGTAGTGGCCATAAAATGGCTTCCTGGGGAACCCCCCCCCATCTCACATTCCTCCAGCTCGAAACCACCACTGTTGTTCAGGTATCCCTTATCCAGTTCAGCATCTTCCCGGTTATCTTAGATTTCACTCTCCATCTTGTTCACCAGCCTTTTGCGAGCAACGGTATTAGATGCTTTTTGACACTCTTAGGCAACTACAGTTTATCCAACCCTTTTTCCTGCCTTAATTTTAGTATCCTCGCTATAGAAATCTTAACAAGTTTGTCAAGCATGATTTTTTTTCCCCCCAACTAAATATATGCTGCAGTTTTCTTACCAATGTTTACACATGTAAGGTGCTGTACTATTCTCAACCTGGTTACTATCTCGAGCCCATTACATGGAATAGTTGTCAGAAACATGGGTCTATAATTTAGTGCCACTGGTCGTCCCCCCCCCCCCCCCCCTTTTTTTTAATTAATGAGACTAAATGGGCCTTTTTCAGAATTCCAGAATATTTCAGAATTTCCAGGAGAATTGTTCCTGAAATCAGTTTTTTGGGGAACATTTTAATTGGAGATGACCTTTGTAGACACTCTGAACACTGATAGTGATATGAAGCCTGGCCCAATTGATTTTGTCATATAGTTCCGCCATTTTTTTTTTTTTTTTTTTAATGTTCAGTACATGTTATATTTCCTTATGACCACAGTTCATCTTGCAAACTTGGGCTCTGCTTTGGTTCTTTTGTAAAGACCTTCTGAGAGCTCTTGTCGAGTTCCTCACATACCTCCTTGTCATTTTCTATGAGACTTTCCTCCTGCCTGTATAACCTGATCACATGGGAGTCTTGTTGTTGTTTTTCTCCATAGGTGACTGACTTGCTCCAACTTGCTCTCTCCCATTACACTTGCTGCATTCCTGTAGTCGCCACGTCTGAAATCTCCTGCCTTCCACAGCTTGTTTCTCACTCTAACCAACTCCTTTAGTTCGACTATGTATACCAACACAATCCCAGTGGGCACAATATCCAAGAGTGGCGGCGCGGTTCGATGTTGAATCCACATTATCAACGATGACTCGACATTGGTGAGGTTGATTCAGCATTGAAGAATTAGTGTTGCTCTTGGATATTGTGCCATTTGGATAATGCAAGTCAGTAGCTTGTAAGGAGTGTCTCTTAAGAACATAAGAACAAAGGCAACTGCAGAAGGCCTATTGGCCCATACGAGGCAGCTCCTATTTATAACCACCCAATCCCACTCATATACATGTCCAACCCGCGCTTGAAAGAATCGAGGGACCCCACCTCCAGCACGTTACGCGGTAATTGGTTCCACAAATCAACAACCCTGTTACTGAACCAGTATTTACCCAAGTCTTACGCGTATCGTTTTGACGTTTGCCACATTTTGGATAAACTTCAGATCTAGTGTTGCCTGTGGGTCTTCTTCCCATGCTCCTGTTTTTGGGTTTTGCCGTTTCTTTGTAATAAGTGATTTGTCTGCTGTGTCTACCAGATGTGGTCTCCGTGTCTCGTTACCCAGTCTATTTCCCCTGTGATTAAAATCCCCAAATATTAGAATCGTGGCCCTATTCACGGTGGCTGATTTCCACATTATCTTCGGGCAGGTTTCGTGTTTCGCATGGAGGAGGGGAGGGGGGAGGGGGGGTCTTGTTGGTGGGGTTACATGTCACTCTGTACCTAAGCCAGTTTGCCAACAGAATTTGAAACCTACCTAGCCCTACCGAACCTAACACAGCCAAATGTAGCAATATACATATATATATACACTGTATATACAAATTTGATAATTGGAAAACAAGCTTTTGTCGAAATGCCTGTGTACAATTTGACTGCACACCATTGGAGGGATGTTGCGAAGCGTTCAGAAAGGGTCCCAATAGTACTCCCGCTATGTCATTGCCGCTCTTTAAACAAATACGAAAATATATACGGTATACTGTATATATATATATTCTTTATTTTCTTCTCCGAGGCTATTGGTCCCTACAGTTGCACCGAAGATGGTAACCTCACAACTTTTGTGTTTTTTTTTTACAGTATAATATATATATATATACTAACCCGTGCAAGGTGTGCAACCCGTCCTCTTAAAAATAACGTCACTTTTGGCTGGTATGCACACTATGGCCAAATTTGGACGTAATTTGAAATGAAATTGACTCGCAAAAGTGACATACTGTCCCGTTTTCTGTTTGAGTCGTCCGGCGTACTCGGTAAGGTTAGAAGAGGAAACTTTCAATTAACATTTTTCATAACGTTTTGAAACTTTATGAGAATTTCCTGCCCACCTAACCTATCAGAGGACCCTTAACTTACTTTTGTTGAAAAAAAAAAAATCCAAAATTTTCATTTTTTTCATTTTCAAATTACGTCCACTTTCAGCCATACGGCTAAACAGCCAAAAGCGACGTTATTTTTAAGAGGACAGATTGGGGGCGTGACGGCACTCTTTGACGTAATCGGGTTGCTTCCTGGGACCCTTTTTGGAGCCTATTGGCTGGTGGGAGGTTGGTAAAGGGCCTAGTTTTGTGTTACTTATATTTAAGAAAGTATGAAGTTATTATCTTGCTTGTAGTCATTACAGGCATTCTTGTGAAATTATCTGGCCAGTCAAAATACCAAAAATATAAGAGATGGAAATAGCCAGGGGCCAGATTCACGAAGCAGTTACGCAAACACTTACGAACCTGTCCATCTTTTCTGAATCTTTGGCGGCTTTGTTTACAATTATTAAACAGTTAATGAGCTCCGGAACACCAGGAGGCTGTTTATAACAATAACAACAGTTGATTGGCAAGTTTTCATGCTTGTAAACTGTTTAACAAATGTAAACAAAGCCGTCAAAGATTGAGGAAAGATGTACAAGTTCGTAAGTGCTTGCGTAACTGCTTCGTGAATCCGGGTCCATGCTTTTAGAAGATTCCATATTACAGGTGTGGGAAGTGAACCATGTGAG